TTTTGCTTTGGGTTTGGGGAACTCCGAAAATTAGTATTTTCATCACCTGCTACTCAGCGGGCTTGACCTAACACTGAGACAGAACTAGGTTTTGGTAACTGTTGTCCAGATGCTTCAAATAATAAATCAGGGTTATTGTTACTCTGCAGATACATCCGCACTTTTTGGTACTGAAATGTGGAAGAGTATCAGCACACCAAGAAGAAACTTTTTCCAGTTCTTATCAAATAGCAGTCATATTGTCACCTAGCTGATGGCTATAACAACAGTAAGCGACTTTTAGGTCTACGGCATATAGAAAGGCATCACCTGTGGCAAAGCAACTGCAAAAACTCTTAATGCAGATCATAAAGAAAAGAGGCCCGGGAACGCCGCCTGGCACAACTTCACTTTGATGCATCTTGGTGTAAACAGAGTTGAATTAATTTTTGTTATACGGGACTTGATAATTGACCGATCGTGGGGCACTTTGTAAAGTGCTTTTTCGAGGTCAAAAAATACAGCAGTTACGAAAAGACCCTCGTCACACTTCCTGGTGACTTCCTCAAATAATCAAGTACGCGGGTGTTACATGAACCACCCTTTGAGGGACCGTTTACGTGGGGGAGGTAACTGATGCGAAACCATGCAATCAGTAACTTCTTTTATGGCCACCTTCTCCATAATACACCAGACTACAGGTGTAATATTTTTAAGGCGACAGTTTCGAATAACTGATGTCGGACCACGTCTGCACATGGAAGATATGTATGACAGTTTCCATCAGTCAGGGTAGCATACCTTAGCGAGAGATATTGAGAATGGCTTCACAAGGACCGACGATATGTCCTCGCAGATCGTGTCCTATCGGTCTGGTAGTGTATGGGTTACCTGGCAAAGCAGCTGCACCAGCTATCTTTTGCTGTGTAAAGAAAACATTACCCAGCTGATAATGTAGCGGAATGGCCATTTGTTTGTTTGGCACAATATCCTAGTGTGTGAAGCAGCCTGCACAATGATTAGTGAACAGATCCTACTCGGGTTATAGCAGAGAATGTCCTCATCAATGATTAGCTTACTAGGAATCACTGGCTAATTTTGTACGGGATTTAAAAATTCTCACAAAGGATTTGACGTTGCCTGTTGTGCGTTGCAGCTACCTTCTTGTCTGATTGCCTCCACTAATCTATTCTATTTAAGGTTTTCATGAGCAATTTTTAGTATGACAAGGGACGAAAAGTCATTAGATCGACAAAAGTTTCTGGCATGTTTTCGCATGTTAATACATACATTCCTTGGGATTAAACACACCTTCGGATTTCTAATTACCACCGATACTGCTGGGCAATCTGATCATGAGTTGCATTCGTGGAACTAAAGATGTCACGTGGTTCATAGGTTGGGCTGCTGGTGAAATAAGAACCCTAGTTCAATCATCTCAGCATGTACTACATCTCTTCCCAGTCAGCCCTTTTATGACGTCTAATTACGGTTGCCTTCGACCCAGGAGCTAACTTAATTATGGAAGGCAGTCAAAAGTCACCAAACACTTCTCTGTGATAGCCGCCTGGAAATTCCGGACCCACTTGCGGAGTAATAATCCACTGGTGAAAACCAGGTCAAGTGTACTATGGTTCCTGGCTGGTTGCTCTACATGCTGGCGCCATCCCCCAGAACCTGACGCAATAACAAACTTATCAAACCGCATGGCAGAACCAAGTGGCCGCCACTTGGTGACAGGTGCATTAATGTCACCGCATATTAGCTTCATGCAGCAGTGTAGTGTTCTTACACGAGTAAACGTTTCAGCCAGTCTGTCATCGTAATATACAGCAGAGCACAAGGGACAGTAGATAAACTCTAGAGGGAGAGGTATGGCATTTGGCCCATAGAGAGTCACTCACTTTATCAAGAACCATATTTTCCAACTTGAATACAGTGAGAGTGTTCAGGAAGTACATCAAGCAACCTCCTCCTTTCTTGTTACTCCGGTCATATCGGAATTGTGTATACATGCCAATACTTATCTCTTCATCTGGTATATTTGCGTGACACAGAGACTCAGTGGTAATTATTACCGGCGGCTTATATATGAGCGCGATTCCTCCTAATACCGATAGTTTGCTAAGGACGGACCTTACGTTTATGAGAACGGTGTGCAAGTAAGAGGAGTAATAGTGTCTAAAGCCTTCTAGTTCTCTAAACGAGCCAAAAGGTATCTCAGTATCGCTTGACTGAGCAAAGGCTGAAGCCATTGCGTTACATAACGTCTCTACACCTTGTTCACTTGTAGCTGTAGAGTTACTATGATATCCTGGTGGTAAATCGACAGCATAGTGACTTGAAATAGTATCACCTCTATCAGGGGAGAACAGAACGACGTTTTTATTTGCATTCAGTGTGCACATCGTATCCAAATAGACAGAGTCGTTTCTAGTATCTGTTACACATAGGGTAGATAGTTTTACCATTGTACGTGGTGGGTGTGTAGGGCTGGTGATGCCACTTGGAGGATTCAATAGACCTGTTGTGGCTTTGTATCTGTTGACACCACTTGGGTAGTTGGTGTCTAGGATTTGTGTGTATGGTTGACTGTGTCTTTTCTGTTGCTCCGAGGGTGCTAAGATTAGCTATTCAGAGTAAGGGGTTTCAATATCCGCATCAGTTGTTTGGCCAAAGCTGCGGCTGATGGGGATGCATTAGATAAAAAATCATCTTGTTTTTGTGGTCCATGTAGGCTTCTGCCCTGTGTTGTATTCCTTACCAGTGACTGCTTTCTGTTACAATTCACAGCGGACGTAACTGGCGTTGTGTTGGATAGGGGGCTGTCTCCTAGTAAACTAGTGCCACGCAGCCGACCAAAGTTTTTCCTCACAAAGTACCCCGCTGACATTCTATTATAGGTGGTTTGATATTGGCTTTTCTCATTAGCAAACGGCAGGGTTGCGTTGTTGTGACGTCTAATTTTGTTTTCGTTACTAGTGAGACTTAGCTCAGTTCACAGAACCTTCTTGGTAGAGCTAGTGTTCGCGCTTCCGTCAGTTCCGGAAGGGATTACGGGATCACTTCGGATCATTATATGCTTTCTGCGTCCGTTTCTACGTGTCAAGTTCCATGGGAGCATTGGTTTATCCGTTGCATATCCAGTGGCCGATATCATAGGACATAGGCTGGTGTGGTTAGCAGACTTTAGGCCTCAGCAGACCTCAGCGAGAGTTCTGTCACATTTAGTTTTGTGTCAGGTTTCCCTTTGGGGCTTTCTGAGGATATGTCTGGATCTACAGTTTCAGGTGGTAGAGTCAAATCATGCATTTTGCAGTCTTCCGTCCCCGCGTTGGTCGATATGTTTTTCCGTATATTTGACTTGATAGAGTTTGTGGAAGGAGAAGTCCTAAGCTCGGGTATACTGGCGAAGATACTTGATGCTATAGTATGCTGCAGCTTTGGAGCATTTTGACTGTCAGATCTATGAGTACGGTTGTATACCTGCCTCTCCACCACTGTCTTATCAAGAACTATCTTTGTTCCTGCGGAGACAGCGTTTTTTGCTAAGATGGATTCTGCTTTGATGAATGCTTCCGCTTCTATCTAAGGTTTAAATTGAAAGCGTATCGAACAGCGGTGGTCCTGCTGGCCTTTTTAGTCGAGAACATCCTGCTTGGATATAGTACATTTTTGCTGTTCCAAGCAAAATTTCTCGTATGGCCTTCAACTTAGTCGTGTCAGGGAAGTTGTGAACTACTGCGTTCGATTTAAGTACCCGTCTCTTACTTCATTGGTGATAAAGCTTACCAGGTGATCTACCTTGGATCGTGTTTCGATGTCAACTTCATTTATGGATTCACTACGCATCAAGATGCTCAGTGGCAAGAGGTTGCTAATCTGAGCTCTAATTTCATCCAGCTGGGGTGACACCTCGAACACCCTTAGCATACTTTCTTGTGGTGTATTACCCGTTTGTCATCTTTCAGCCTGCGTATTTCTGCCTTTAGTTTCTCTGTGGAGGACTTCAGGCTTTCGATTTCTGGAAGAAGTGACAATGATACACTTGGTGGCTGAGGCCTAGTTAGTCTAACAAAAGATGTGGGGCTTCCACTAAGCTTTACGTCTTCTGCAACATTCAGGGTTGCTGTCTTATTACATGTTCAGCATGCAGAGGTATTTCTATTATTGTTAACGTTGGCTGTCTTATCGAAGGCAGTTCTTCTCTTAAGCATAACTAGAGTATAAGCTGACTCACTCATGCTGTAGCAGGAGGAATCTGCGTTTGGTGTCGCCAACATTTGGGTATTGTTGATGCACTGTTCCACAGACAGCTGTGTCCATGCCTTTTTACGCGCATTAGCCATATCTAGTTGCATGTCTGATATGTGATTAGTCATCTGAGAATTCAGTAGCTTTATAATGACGTTAATAACAAAGTTATGATACGGTTACGAAGTCACGTTAAAACGTAACACAATTTCAAACGTACCGCATCGCAGGTGAGAGGCTTATCGACACCTATGCGTCTGGGGGAAGCAGGTTTCGTCAGTGCATTCAAAGGGTTCAACTGTGTATCGGGTGTGCCATTACCGGTACCGTCTAAATCCACTGCACCTGAGGAAAAATCTTTATAACTGGAGGGTATCCATCTTCAGCTTCAGTGATTACCACCTCGTTGGTAGGTGAAACGGTAGCAACTGATGCAAATACAACAATTTGCTCGGTCAGCCTTTTTTCATCTACACTTAAAATGCTATCTGATGAGATGGGCTAACTCCCAGGCACCGGTATGCCCCGGGTGACCGTTGTTTCAGGTGAAACTTCCAAAGGGGCTTTGACCCACGTATGCGTCGTTGACAAGGGTCAAGGTCTGGAAGCACTCTTACGGTCTCACACAATTTTAACAGTCCTAGAGGCCATATTCAAATTATTATCTCTGTATATTGTCAACAGCAACCTATGTTTTTCATAATTAAACCACCTCAGATTTGAGTCTGCGATTTGTACTAAATATCACTTTGTGGAAGGAAACTATAATGTCTTCCAGATTCAAGTAAGTTTCGGGTGTATATGTTCAGGTGAAGCCTTCAGTAATATACTGTTAATGTTTACTCGTAAATTTTGTGAGGGCATTTGTATTGTCCAAACATCTCGACAGGTTCAAGAGAGGAGGAAAATGTTTTTCATCGACTTTTGCATGAGAGTTGAGCGAAACGGAATAGAACCGGTGATCAAGGCATCCGAATACAGCACACGGATAGAAACTTGGATTACAAAGAATGGAGGAACAGGAGATCGTTCCATGCAGGTGCTGCCCGGAACCCGAGAGAAACCGTGGATAGCTGTACCGATCTATGATGAAAGGACAGGCTCCAAGCGTAGGATTAAGAGTCAAGAAGGGCCCGGTAAGGCGAACCATACTGGACGGCAAGTTCCAATATCCAATATTGATAGTGCGAGCGTAGAAAACTGGTAGTTTTTGATCTCTCGCGTCTAGTTCTTAGGGCTTGGTTCCAGTTGTTCGGTTTACTCCTGCAGTGGACGAGGAAATCCCCTCTGCTTTCTTGCTTTTAGCTTCGGTGAGGTGGATGTTTTGTGGGTTAGTAGGTTGTAATTTGTAGAGTGATTAGGGAGCTACGGGTTGCTGGGAAGTTTAGAGAACTGCCATGACTCCTGTCTGTGTAGGTACCTGAAAGAAAATAGTAAGGTAGTGGTAAAGGAATGAAGAGAGAATAAAGAAGAGAGTGAAGTAGCACCATAGAGACTCTGGGAGCTGGGTTAAGGCCGTATCGCTAACCATCCTTGCCTTTAAACAGGAGTTTACGTAGATAGCCACTCCCCCTCCTGCTCTATGTTCCCTGTCCCTGCGGAAGAGTTCCATGCCAGCAACACGCATCTCTTCGTCGGAGATGTCCGATGAGAGCCAGGATTCGGTGATGAATATGATGTCGGAGTGCTGATGTTCACGCAGCGTCCTCATTTTGCTACCTTCCCTCTTAGCCCCCTAACGTTGCTGTACATACATATTAGAGTGTGCCTGATGAGAGGGGAGGTCTGGATGTGTATTTTCGCGGGATGAGCGCTTACGTGGTTGATTAGCCTCGCCAGTCCTCATAGGACTGGCATTGTTCCGTTTTTTGTGTTTTGTTCTTAACTTGGGTGGGGGCTGTAGCAGTGGTGGCTTCTTTACTTGATGTATCTAACTCACTGGTCAGCGCCTGTGTGACGACCACTGACTCCAGAGGTCTTGGTGGTTGCCGTCTCTCCTCTTGCCTTGTGGGTCTAGGCTTACTTTCACATATACGTATTGAGCCACCCATGCGATCTTTCGCATTATACCATGCGTGCAGAACGTCTGTGAGGGAGGCATATGAGTCGAACTGGACGGCAAGTAGTCTGGGATTGGGTATGGTCTTCAGGTGCGCTGGCCTTGGCAGTCTACTGACGCTGTTGGCCGGTATACTGTTGAGACCAACTTTGGTTGAGAGCCATTGCCATTGTTGGACGTCGTGAAAGTACCGATCTTTGACCGAGCTGTCACTTGGCAATTCTGGAATCCCATGTACAACTATAGTGTTGTTTCTGTTGGGATTTCCAACCGCTGACTTTCTCTCCTCCTCTCTTATTGACCATGGCTTGTCAGGCCTGGCCCGAATTTTACAGGCATTAACAACGTCCGGTTGTCGCGTGAGAAGGAGTGTGTCTTCAGCCTCTTTGGCGGTATTTAGGGACACACGTAAAGGGGGTGGCTTATCTCGGGGTGCATGGCTTCCTCGAGAAAGGCGACATAAAGTTGCAGGGAGGGGAGGGAGTCCCAGCATCTGACAGTAGTCGGTCCACATTCGGCTGTCAAATTGTTCCCTCTCGACCAACAATGAGTCTGTCGATACATCGACGTTGAACAAAATGATCGAGTTGGTCCTCCTGTGACCTGGGTTCGTTGTGGGTGGCACGCCCGACTTCCCAATGGGTTTGAGTAATTCCACTGGTTGTTTCTCAGTCACGGTGTGTGGGGTGTTCGGAATGGGTTTCGTAGAGGCTTCGGCGGTCGATGTCTTTGGCCATGCGCTTGACGTCCCCTGGGGCCGGGTAGGGGTATGGAGACTTGACCTAATATGGTCCCCACGCGAGGTGGCGTGCCCACAGCTGGAGCTCTAGGTCTGTTTCCAGGTCTCTCTGTGTTATCCTTTGGTGTTAACCCTACTTTATTCGAGGATGCTGGTAGCTTTTGCGTGGCGGAGAGCATCTCCTTCAGGCTTTCTGTGCGGAGTGCGGGCATTTTCCTGCACTCTGGACAGATGTACCAGAACCACTTGCATGGTTGTCTCTTCATCAGCTTATAGTATTGTCGGGGGACTTTGGTATCGCAGTGGCAATGCGCCCATCGTTGACACAGGTTGCATGCAAATGCCTCATCGACTACCGAAACAACTTTGGTGCAAACACTGCAGCCATCGGGTGTCGTAATACAGCCTTCCTTCCATGAATAAGGTGCTACGGATTGTGGCGAACTGCTTGTGGCTGCCTTGTTCTGAAGCCTTTTACGTCGTCTTCTATTTCAGGCATGGTATGATCCTTGCTCAAGATAGGACTAGTTTGTGACGGGCTAGTGCTACTCTGTGTCACCTGTCTGATGGCGACTGGAATTCTAGAAACATGGGTTGGCCACTTCTTCAGAAGTTCGGTGTTCTGCCCTACCTCTGTTTGTCTTCTAGTACAGACTAGTGTGTTGTTTAGGGTGTTACTGGCCGTTTTGTGCACGACCGCGTTATCCGTGTCAAAGCTTCAGACCTAGCGTTTTGGGCAGACATGTCGCTATGATATAAACTTCTTGGGAAAACAAGTAGTTAACAACAATAAGAGGGTTGAAGACTGAATGCAGCAAAAGGACAGAATAGAAAAGGGAAGATAATTTATGTTGGCTCACCTTCAGACACTTGTCACAGTTGTCGAATCTTTGGGTGCCAACCGTCAGCTAACGCACCAATCAAAAGTTTGAGCAGCTATCTGTACTGCCTAGGATGGAAGAGATAAAACTATTAAAGCTGGCCTCCTGAATTCTTGCCGACTGCCCCAAACACTGAATGTCAGTAGAATTAGTGCGTCATGATGCCGAGTTTCCTTACCCGTTGGTGAGCCTGCGGATGGTCAATGGGATGCACTTAACAACACGAAGGTGATCACCCTTTAGTCTTGTAAGAAGTCACCCCGATATTCCAATGCTATCGTCTTTGACAGCGGTACTGGTTGGTTGGAATCTCTCTGGAGACAACACTTCCCTCGATTTTACTCATACGCCCTTATTATTAGTGCCAACAGGAAACGTAAGCCACAGGCCTCCTAACTTCAAACCTTGGTAGAGGTACCGAAAATTTATGAGGAATTTTCCAATCCCAGATGATGCTTACTTTTTCGTGATGCAGTGGTGCGTAGGCACCCAATGCGATCCAGTATGTGGCCTGCCTCAGTGCTCGTCGCGTGAACGCCATCTTTCACAGAAAGGAGACTTTCCATCGTCTCACTGATCTTTGTCTAAGGAGACCTGTACGTTTCAGCTGATGTTGATGTGTGACTTAGCAGAGGTGCCAAAGATGGTGGAAAGCTGGGTAGACGACCATATTAGAGAGTACCTGAGCAGTAAAATGCACATAACCAGGTTTACCACAGTTACAAATAGCTCAGGATTTACTACACTCGCCCTCTTTAACCTAGACGGCAAGCTGTAGCCCCAAGGTTCCCAACGGATTAAAATCTCTGAGCGGGTGCATAGACGTATAGACTCTTGCAACCTAGTAGGAAGACAGACTGGGAAACAGCTGGCATCTCGATCACCCTCCACCCTTGATATTCATCCCCGTATTCTTTGACTACTACCACTACTACTACTACTACTACAACCACTACTACTACCACCACCACCATCACTACTGCTGTAGTTACTATCACCACAACCGCTGTTTTTGACTTGATCCAATTGTCTACTCCCGTGTGACATCCCATTTGCCCTCCTCCTCCCATTTTACTAGTTACCTCTTCAGCTGCCTCGTCAATGGTATCGTGAATAGTGTTGCTGCATCATCCCTGCTAAAACATTTCCTGCTCCGTCCCTTTCACCCAGCCTTTCCCATTTGAACTTACTCCTCGAAATGATTCATGTCGCTACTTCCTTTCTTCGCTCTCTATTTGTTTTACACCAACTTTCTCTCCACTCTTCGCTTTTTTGGTTACATGCTAAATTCGTTTGTCTTTTTTCGCTAACATTCAACCGCTCACTACCAACATGACGCCGAAAATCCTACTGGCGTTTCAAATGCAGGGTAAATCATGCGCCCCTAACCCCCATGTGGCTAACCTTGGTACTTCTGAGGTGAAGCCATGCACAGTACCTAAAATAGATGTTTCGCTGCGGTGAAGTGACCCCAAATATGCTTTGAAATCCATCTCACCCAGGTTAGAGGTTACTTAAAGAGCGTCTACTTTTATATTCGCTACGGCAGCAAAACACACCATGTCGTCACCTTCTGAACCAGAGAAACAAACCCACCAGTTAATTAAGGATAATAAAGATAAGGTGGAGATTACTTGTGGATATATTTCTGATACCTACGTCCAGAAACCCCAAGTGGATACAGCTTTGGCAGCTGAAGCAGTAACACTAAACAGAGTGAGCTTTGTGGACATTGATTCCGTCGGTGAGTTCAGGATATTAATTGTTCTGCATACGAACAGTTACCAGGAACGGATGAGCCGCACCATGTTACTCAGACGGCTTGCACCTCAAGTCGTTGGCCAACTGGCCAGTATATTTTTGACTACCATATGGTTGGAAGGACGTTATAGTCTCACCCGTTCACGAGGCAGGTTCTACACAGCACCCATAAAGTCATAGACTAATTAGCGTAGCTGACACTATGGTAAAGATCCTAGAATCTGTGAATAAGAAAGTCATTACGCCCCATTCAGAAAGCAGCACCCTTGTTTCCCGTTCACAACGCGCCATGCGCTCTCAAGGTCACAGAAAGTTGGGTCAAGTGAAAAGATGGTTGGTTACCCTTAGATATTATTTTCATCAAAACGTTTACAAAGCACCTCATTCCACGCCTCTCATGAAACTGACGAGTTTTGAGGTCTCCGGTAGTCTACTCGTATAGATCAGGACGCTCCTCGTCGGAAGGAGACGAAAAGTAGTGACCAATTCCCAACCCTCCTGTTGGAAGTTGACGGAAGGCAAAGTACCGCAAGGCACAGTCCTTGGTCCCCTGCCATTTTTCCCGCAGATACATTAACTATCAAGCACCATAACCCCCCCTGATTTCGTTCACTGATGAAATAAAAGTCTGCTGAGAGTTGAGGGACGGTGATGAGGTACGTAAACTCCAGATAAGTTTAAAGAGTTTAATATCTGATCAAATAAAATGTCTGATGCCCATCAATTCAGACTAATGTGTAGTCATTCAGACAGCTACATCGTTGATATCGGTGAAATATCTCTACCCCTACTCCGCACTCAGAACTATCCAGTATTCGTAGCGAGTCATGATTTCACAGAAGAAGCATACTGTCTGTTGTTAACAGACTGAGATTCTAAGCACTTTGGGCTATACATAGAACTTTTACTAGGGTATATAGCGATGTGTTCACCACCTAATACGCAAGCCTGTCAGTCTTCTTTTCTCCTCTCTATTTGGTCAAATCATTTCAGACTACATGGCAAGAGGGTACAAAAGCCAAGGACGAACCTCATCATCACACAGTATTGGTTTTGCGTGGAGTCATCAACCCTTGTAACGAACTCCTTGAATATGTGATGTCCGCGCCATCAGTTTACTCATTCAGATTAGAACCGAGGTATATGGCGATTTATAGAGGAATAACATATAAAGGCTAACAAGCTTCTTTCTTAAAACCCTTAAATATGAAAATCGTATATAACCAATACTAAGCCACCAACCGAGTATTCCAGAGCAATAGGGGGGGGGGAAATTAGGTGTTTAGCACCAAAATCCATCGAAAATCCGAAACTGCTTCGTAAGAATTATAAACGAGGACTAAGAAACCAGCTGGTTTATACTCATCTAGACATTGGAAATCGGACCGCTTTGGGCGCCCCTTTTTTACGTGTAGGTGCCTACACACAAACTGTTGGAGGCCTCTATTAGTAAAGTCCTAGAATGTAAGTTGTGTAGTTTTTGGGATTTAATCATTCTATGATAAAGGCCAAAGTCTTTCCGCTATGATGTATGTGATGATCGGTTAGTGTCATGTGTAATATTTTCAGGCTCTTAGTTTAACTTCGCGTCAGTATGAATATGGTAGTAATGCATGTGAAGATACTTACCAACCTCGAAATGAACACACAAGAAAGCATAAAAGCACTCCCACCATTCCAAGGAACATGGAGTTCATATATCAAAGTATTCAGGTCATAAGACCAAGAGAACGGATGATTGGTCTCCAGAGAACTCTCCAAATGATGTACATAAAAGGTTTGAGGCTTCACTTATTTTAGTGATTATCATTTTCAGGAAGAGAAAGCACAAAAAGCATTCTCGCAGTCATAGTAGCAATAAGCGGGTTCATTCGTTGAGACGTTCCCCGGACTGCACGGACATCAGTGCTTTCAAATTTCGATCTAGTCTTATGTCAGAACTTTCCAAGCATCACAACTTCAAGGAAAAAATTCTCAAAGTTCAAAGTGTTAACGAGCTAAATGAAGCCACTTATTCTCGTCAACCTTCAGTTGATAATGATACCAATCAGTACCGCGAAATACCTACGGACGAGCGTTCAGTTGAGTCTTCTTTTATCCCACTAGATGAGATAGCTTTGCCACCGGAGCCCAGCACAAAGTTGTCATCCAATTCATTCACTCCATCAGTAACCACACCCCAACAAGGGTTATGCGTGAATTACACAATCCGGATTCAAATATTAGAGACACTAATAGTTCAGATGTGCTACCGACTACAAAGTTAACTAAAACATATCAGATGCCTCTACCCGCAGAAGTACCGTAAGTTATTTTTGTAACTTATGTTGTTTATTACAGGTATGAACGGAAAAAGCCTTCCATAACGGAACTTCCACTCCCTCCTGGTTTTGACAGTACCAATCTGGAGACTATTTTCCCAGAAAGGTCACCCAAACGTCCCGTCACTGTGTCATCGGTGAAACCACTTGGGAGGCAAAGAATAACAAGACGTCCTAAGTATGTCCTCACTAAATTTATTTGTTGTATTTGAATGGATTGAGATCACTAGTTTTAGGCTTGAGTTATATAGGTTTCACCAAGCATTCATTGCTTATTTATCCTGCTAGTACCCATAGAATTGCTACTCTTCTGGAAAAATAAACTTAAACGTCAGTCGTAGTGTAAATGACTTAAGTTGTGGTTGAGAGTGATGAGGCACCACTGTCTGGATAACTTTTGTTCTGTGGTTTAGACTTTCACTTCTCAACAAGTGGGTCATGAGCTCGATACCCGCTCTACCTACCGAAGTTTGGAAAGCCAGGTGGTATAACTACCCCTTCCAGTAGATCTTCCTCACTACTTAGTACTCTACCTGCACTTACTGAGGTACATTAGTTGATAGAATAATAACAGTAAAATGGTCCCCTTTTAGTGACTAGCACTAGCTGCGCTGCATTTAAATCTGGGGGAGAAGTGGAGGTGGGAAACATTGAAAACAGTCTGTTCTCAAGTCTGCACACTTTTCTTTCGACTTTTCATTGCCGGGTTCATGGGGTTTTTTAGAATAAAATGCAAACTCACCAACCTCGATATCTATAGAAAGTCTGTTCCACCGTTTTCAAGCATTTTACTGCACTCGCTACAAAAGGCTACCTAAACTATGTAAACCAAAAGAGTAAACTGTAATGTCTGTTCGAAACAACTTCCTGAAACATCGCTTATTAAATAGTATTGTCCCACTATATGATGTATCTAACAAACCAACAAACTAGAAATAACGTGCACTTGTAGGCAGTCATATTTAATCATAGCCAGTCATTTAGCGAGCTTTTACTGATAGTTACTACCTTAACATGATGGTCGGGTTTGCATATCACAATGAACCAGTAAGGTCTGCTGGTGGAAGGGAAACAGAATCAATGTAGAACCTCGTACACAAGGTATACTGGTGCAAACATTCCTTGAGGTGTTACTATATCGAAAATGTATGTTAGATAGTGGTAAGACGAGATACAGTTACCTCCATAGTGTAGTTGGCTGCGCTATGATCGGAAGGCAGACCACAGGTTGAAGTCTTTTTGTAGGCTAGCTGTAGTGAAAAAGCAGTAAGTTTTTCCCACGGATGACCAGTGGAAACAGGCTGAACAAATAAGCCTTGAACTCTGCACACAAATTCATCGATTCTAGTTGCCTCAGCTGATAGTAGCATACAAAAAACAAGTGGACAGAAAAAGACTGGTACCAAAGTAGACAAAATTGTGTAAGAAAATGAATTCAAAACTGAAGGTTAGTCAACACATCCAAGCTCCGGAAGACATAAAAGAGTGGATCTATGTACATCATTATAGGGGATTTTCAACCATTCTGCGGAGACCTTAACAACTAATTCTTATCGTATCGTGGACCCTAGCTAGGACGTCTATGTCACCCCGGTCAAAGACTTCATGCACTGATACCACGTCTTGGTACGATCACCCTGAGCCTTTTTCCAACCTAATCCAACTTCCCCTAGCAGTGCATGCCGACGTAGACGTTGGCTTGGCATGGGCAGCACATGTCCAAACCATCTCTGTCGATGGTGTACAATGTCATCGACTGACCTATCTTGCTTATTGCCCTTCACCTAACCTTGAAATTACATGGTGATCCCACCATACGCGAGGGATGCTACGAAGACACCTATGATCGAAAACTTCCAACCGCTTCATATTCTTTGATAGTCGGATATCTCACCAGTAGGGGCCAGAGATGACGCAGGTTGTCAAGTATCAAACTGACTTTAAGTATCCCAGCTGAGATGTAAACGACCAACCTGTCCTAGCTGATTTAACTGACTGGGTAAGTGAAGTCACCGCGTCCAACCACTTCACTCCCTATCCCTTAACTGGGAGTAGGTGCAGACCAATCCTGAGACATCATCTAACATTTGACTAATGCGGAACTTATGCCAAACATACTCAAATTTCTACTCAGCGCGTTCAAAAGACTCTGTGTTTTGTGGGTGTCTTCACTTAGCAGGACAATATCGTCGACATACTCCAAGTCAGCTAGATGCCCTCTAGGGAGTGAATCAATTCCTGTGAATTCAGAAGTACCTAAGGTTATGTTCTTTGGTACATCTGTAGCAAAATTAAACAAGAATAGTAACAGTGTGCATCCCTGTTAGATACTGCTAGTTGTCAATTCAAATAACTCTCAATAAGCACTTACATGGTTGCATGAGTTTGCGTAGAGAGACATGATCAGTGTTACATACTTAGTACTTTCACAGTCAGACATTGCTACAATACTTCATAGTCGACAGTCGAATGCCGCCTTCGGGTCAGGAAATGTGGCATGTAGGCAGCCGGTAACTATGCCAGTATCCCACGACCTGTTGAAAGGTGGAAGCCTGCTCAGTGTATCCTCATTTAAGTCTGAAACCTGTCTAGTTCTCGTGTTTGCTGCTCTCGAGCTCCGGTGAGGTGTCGGGTAATTATGAACCCTAGAATCCGCGACACTATGTTCGTCAAACTGATCCCATTTGGTTATCCCAAAAAGACTTCTCTAATACACGAATGGTCGGTGAATCAGAGCAGTCTAACGGGACTACCTCTGATTCCCCTACACTGCATGGTGCCTTCGACACTTTGTGTGGTAATTTCCTACTTCCATCCTTAAAGGCATTAAGTGGCAAACCGTCAGGTCCTGTTGCTTTGTATCGTTTCAGGTTTGAAACGGCCTTCTCGACTTCGAGGAAAATTGGAGAACCGACGTCTATGCCCCATTCTGGCTCAGACTGGATGCTGGGTGATTGAAACGTCGCTGTGTGCCCGTCGAACTGTGCTTCAAAGTGTTTTCCACCCGACGTTCTAAGCATCTGTTCTGAGAAGTCATATGCGTCCCATCCCTTTCATTGATGGTTTTTTTTAACCATCTTAACGGTATCCTTAATAAGCCTAGATAGTTGTTTGGTTTTACGTAATGCTGATACTTGTTACACCTTTCCTACTTTCACCACTGCTTGCGATCGTTGCGAAAACTTGAACGATTTACCTTCTCGTGGCTTTCGCTCTTCATTGTGGTCAGAGTCAACTGGAATTAGTCGTCTCACATCAATCAGTTCAGATGAGATTGCGGAAATCTATTAACGTTTCCTGACCTTTGGATGTAGGTTACCAACTATCTTTACCGATATTTCTGCAGCAGACAATATCAAGCCAGGTTTCCTCAGAATAAGCATTGCTATCACGTTCAGATAAATGCTTATCTATCTCCTCCCTAAATGCGTACTTAATGTTTTCATCTTGTAATCCAGAACGCACAAGCTTAACTGCTGTCTGTTTTATGCCGGTATTAAGGTAAGTACATACATGTGTCCGTACTTATGCGTAGTCGGAGTCCCAACATGTACTTCAGAAAAACCGGCAACCCTCCACCAATCCTCTCCAAAGATGGCTCATAGCAATGTGATTTATCTGTGTCCATCGCTGGTTTAAAGTCGGTGGACGCCATGTGAGACAGTGCCTCTCCTTATGCTTAAAGTTAATGCCGGCCAAAAACAAGTGATTGTCGGAACAAAATTGCAACGGACGATCACCGTCGTCGGTTCGTTGGCACGGGGTTCCATAAATACCCCCAAGATGCCTTTCCGGTTGGTTCAGCTTCTCTAACTAAGCGTTAAAGTCACATACCATTATGACTACATCTGAACATTTTGCTTTCTGTAGCAAAGTTGACCGCTTCCCATAGAATTTATCCTTTGCATCATCCCAACTGCAGTCGGTTGGTATGTGGGTGGAGATCACAAATAAGGACCGCCTAATGCAGGATCCTTTCTAGTTCTTACATATCCATTCAGCTGAACAGCATATAGACGGCTGTTTACTGGTATTCAGTCGAAAAGCGTACTTTCTGCTTTACAACTCACTGCTATGCCTACACCAGCGAGTCTACGAGAGGTGTAGCCATTGGGTCTACGTATACTCGTAAGGTGAATTTCGAAGATTCACTTCTATGGCCGGGTGAAGTTAATGTAATAACCACACTCGGGTCCTATATACGTGTCTTAGAGACACCGCATACATTCATGACCGGAGATCCTAGAGTTTTGATGAGCGATTCTAGCTGTCCGACTTGACATATGGTTTGGACGTTGGAAGCTCCAATATGAAGTCTACGTTGGTAATAATCTCAGAGTGGGAGGTTGGGAAATTTGTAAGAGGTGTAATGTTTGTATCAGTAAGTGAAGGCCAAGAGAATGCTTATGCTTACCAACTCCCCAGGGTACTTAAAAGCGAAAAAGATCTGTGGCCTCAGAGCCCTTAAATCTTTTGGAGGTCTTTCACATGCAGCCATTTTAGGATTGTTATTATGTGATTTTATCGTTCTAACGCCGAATAGAAGAAACTCATACTGTTGGCACCGGCATATCTCAGGGTGGCGAGTAGTGTACTGTTTTGGGGACTAACCTTTTCTGAGGACCCCTTCTCACTGGCAATGCCGTTCATTCGTGGAAACACCTCACCGCTGTCACAACCCACATAGCCAGGGATACGAATTTCACTCCCGGACCCCATCATAGTGTAGCAATTTACACTATAACGCTAGCTGCTTTTCTTACCACTATCCAACAGACCTTTCTGGTATTGTAGGACCAAGGAAACAAGCTCTCCAGCTGGTGTAAATCGTTGGATCATTGTGGTATACAAGTCCGAATACCACGTCATGTTAGCAGCTGATGGTCGGGCGGATGGTCAGCAGTAACACGCTGGTACTGCCTTCTTTATGGGAAGTCAGGAGATTTCGAAAAATTCAACCTAGAAAGTAAAACTGCCCCCGATTCTGCAATAGCCGTGTGTCGGTGGGTTTTCTAGTTGGATTCAAACCAAACAAACTGGATTTTGAAGCTTCCAGGAAAACCGCATGTAACTGGCTTTAAGCAGATGCCCTTTAGGGTCCGGGGCCAATCAAAACTAACCCTTTCAGTTACCTTGCAGAAATAAATCTCACAGTGTGGGTGACCAAGAAGTACCAGCCACTCGCATGTTTCAACCAGCATAAATTACCTTCCTTAGCTTCGTTTCCTGATACCAAACATTAGACCTCTTGCAACTCCCTCAACCTCACCGTGTGACCATTGCCAACGATCCAAAGTAGTAAAACACTACTTCAAGTTTCCTAAAACCACACCACCAATTTCATATTGTTGCTTTCAACATCCGACCCACTTACTAAATAAGACAACAGCTTTGACAAAACCCTGGTACCTCAAGACAGTGGTGTGTGCTGTGTTTCCGAAACACATATAAAGAATCCAGGTGTGATTATTCACTTGATCTCACCTGGCCAATGCAGTGAATTTGTCAAATTCACTTAACGAGTGCCCGGAAATTGAGTTTTTAGCTCTCAGGGATTCGTCGGTGTAGGTATAGCACTAGTTTGTAGAGTCGAAAGTACACTTATCAAATAGATACCAGTCGATAAATGGTTGTACGCTATTCGACTCAGATTAGTAGGAACCGGGAAAGGCCATGTCACTCATCTGTGTCTTATTACAGTATCCGCCCAGGCACCCGCCGACTGCAGTTTGGAGGATGTGAAAGATGAATTCTACCAAAAGTTATCAATGTAGCTACAGAAAGTAAAACATTTAGATGTAGTCATAATGGCAGGTGACCAAGTATGAAAGCTGAGCCAATCAAAAAGAAATCTTGAGGGTATTTGTGGAATCCTGTACCAACGAACCGACAACAGTGATCGTTTGTTATAATTTTGATCCGACAATTACTTGTTTCTGGTAAGCACTAACTTCAAGGATAGGAAGAGACACTGTCCCACTCGAAGGGGATAATTATTTTACCAATCACATAGGTATTGCTTTGAATAGCATCGTGTCCATGGTCCTAAGACCCGAAGATGGATATATCACCTAGCTGCAGCTCTAGAACAAATAAGCTGAGGAAACCTGGATGAGAATGTATCTATCAAGCTTTCACTCTTCGACGGACCTTGGAATACAAGCGTACCTATTGGTCCCCGACACCATATTGCTTGACCCGAAGGCGGCATTTGACTCTATCAACCAAGGGGAATAGTGGCACTGTCTGGCTATGAAGTGAGTACTGAGCAGGTTTTTTGTGCTCTACGTGAATTCACGCAGCTATGTAGAAGCTTACGGAGAGTTTTTATCTAAAGTGACCATTATAAATGGTGTCCGACAAATGCTTATCATCACCTTTCCTGTTTAACTTTGTTATAGACGTGCTAATGGACAAAACCTTAGTTACCTCTGACTTTATGAGATTGACCTACTCCCAGAACGGGATTTGGTTGTTATGGTGTACGCAGGTGAAGGAGTCCTGTTAGGTAAAGACAAATCTGAGTGTTTGGGGTTGGTTTACCACCAGTCAAATGTTAGATGATGCCTTAGGATTGGTCTCAGTTAAGGGATAAGGAGTGAAGTGGTTGGACGCGGTGACTTCACTTACCCAGTCAGTTAAATCAGCTAGGACAGGTTGGTCGTTTACATCTCAGCTGGGATACTTAAGGTCAGTTTGATATTTGACAACCTGCGTCATCTCTGGCCCCTACTGGTGAGATATCCGACTATCTATCAAAGGACAAGTATACTGCGCTTCATTCTGGTTTGTCCTTTTATATGGCTGTGAGAGTCGCCCATTATAAAGGTGATATGGAATGGTTACAGGCTTTTAACTCAAAATGATTTCCCAGCATTGTTCGAGTAGTCTAGTGTCCACTCTTCCCATTCTTATTCACTTGTTTATGGACATGCTTATGGAGTTCTCCTTCTCGTTCGACTTTACAGGGATTGAGCCTATCTCAGGAAACCTAGAGTACTCAGATGACATAATCCTGTTAAGCGATGTGGACAATATACAACGTCTTCTGGACATATTGATTGGCAACTCGAGAATATTTGGAATGCGTTTTTTACTGCTTAAAGTCGAATTTTCGCTCTAGTACTGTTCTGCGTTGTTGCACTAGCTAACAATAGGAAGTGTGGTTAAATGTGTTGACCACTTTACTTAGGAAGTCACGTCAAGCCTATTGGGTTAGTGATTGACAAGATGTCGGTATGCATACAAAAGATTCCCTTGTCTTTTGTCACCTTACGTTATTTATGAACGTCGCTATGTCAGATTGTCTATTGATGATAGATTACACTGCGCTATAGTTCGTCCTGTTCTAGTATATGGCCTTGAAAGATGACCATTAAAGGTACAGGACATCTGAAGGCCTCAGTTGTCGGACCATTGTTGTCATTGTATTATAGACCGTGTGTCATAGTGTTCCCACGTCATTAATACCCAAGTCAGGCATAGAGTTTTAGGTTGATAAGGTTGTAAACCCCTATCGACTCAAATGGTTATGTCGTTGCACATGTCGTCTGCCCGGTAGTGCTAACTGGAGTAGATTTAGTTTTGGGAAAGGTTAGAGGTGAACAGATAAAAAACTGGCATCAGTTCATGAGTTCTGTGACTGTTGATGTGAGCTGTGTAAAAAAATGTAGACTTTTGTTCCTGTGATAACTGAGATCAGTGGTTGGAGACTTGGTAATATGACCCAGAATCTATCTCAGTGGCGTGATTGCACCCACACATCTTAATGCCAGTCATCATATTGAATAGCATTATTGCCTTGCTTCTTGTTTACTTTAACGAATTTCTACCACTTTGTATTACGTTCCCCCTTATTCCTCTTTAATCTGTGTGGCCTACTACTTTGATGTAAAACGTGACAACTTGGACCACTATGCAGTAATGCTAGGTCTCACGTCGATGCTGACTGAATGTCTTCCGCAATATCACTTTTTCTAGCCACTGGTTCTTTGCCTCCCGATATCAGGTGTGGCAGCTTGAACCCATACCTTCCTGTGCTTGGTTTCAAGTTAATTTATCTGCCTCGCTGTCTCTTAGTAAGTTTTGCCCTAACAGTCTATTTTTATCGTTGTACCGAGAGTACGTCAGAATGTTCTCTAGATCATTTTATTTTACAGGCCACTGAAATTCACAGATGAAAACTGTAGCACAAATACCCGATTATTGATTATTGAGATATAGACTCCGTCCATGCATTGTCTTAGAAATGGACTTCCAAATACTTCCTTTTTTCTTATCAGATATTTCATTGAATTGTAAATCCATTTATATAAATCTTTTGATTCGTATTCACGAGTTGCTCACATTGCTGCTGTCGTTTTAACCTAACTATCTACCAGGTTTTAACTCTCCACTTGTCTCCGCGATTGAATGCACTTAGTTTAGGGTTTTACAACGATTTTTTTTTCTGTGATGTAGCTAATTCTAATAATATTCCTTTCGTCCATTACTAAAGGATTTGCGCGCTTCGTAGTAAAAGTCGCAATAATAAAACATGGGGTGAACGCTCTGTGACGGCTTTTGATACTTTGATCCAAGTTGGCGAAGGCACATATGGTCACGTCTATAAAGCAAAAGATAAAATCACTGGTATGTAACTGACTATTTCCATTATTACTGGATATGATGTGTATTTTAGGTGAGTACAAAGCCCTAAAAAAAGTAAGGTTAGAGAATGAAAGGGAAGGATTTCCTATAACTGCTGTCCGGGAAATAAAAATACTCCGTCAACTTAGACATCCTAATATTGTCAATTTATGTGAAATCGTTACAGATAAAGATGATCCTACTGACTTTAAAAAGGATAAAGGTAAGATATATTACTGTTCACTGTTCCACTTTTTTACAAGGTGCCTTCTTCTTAGTTTTTGATTATATGGACCATGATCTGTACGGTATCTTGGAATCTGGGTTGGTGACTTTTAGTGAACAGCATATTGCTTCCTTAATGAAGCAACTTTTGGATGGTCTCAGCTTTTGTCACGATAGACACTTCCTCCACCGTGACATCAAATGTTCCAATATACTTATTAATAACAGGTAATAAACTTATTTGGCTTTACTCCGTGCTAGAGGGCAACTAAAGCTTGCAGATTTTGGTTTGGCACGTCTGTATATCGCTGGCGATAAGGAACGACCGTACACCAATAAAGTTATTACTTTGTGGTATCGACCTCCAGAGTTGCTTCTTGGTGAAGAACGATATGGCCCAGCAGTCGATATATGGTCTTGCGGGTAAATTATAGAAAAGTTATGACATTTAACTGTTTTAGTTGTATTTTGGGAGAGATGTTTACTCGTCGACCAATGTTTCAAGCCAATGAGGAAGTTGAACAACTAGAAGTTATATCCCGAATCTGTGGATTCCCGGACCCAGCTATATGGCCTAACGTTGAAAAATTGCCGTTTTATTCGACAATGAAACCGAAAAGGATGTATAGACGCCGACTTCGTGAAGAATATCATATGTAAGAATATGATTGTTTTAATTTTCCGCATAGCATTCCATCACAAGCTGTTGACCTCCTCGACCACATGTTACAATTAGATCCCCAGCGAAGATGTAGCGCACGCGAAGCCTTGGCCTCACCATGGTTACGGAATGTTGATCCGACTAGAATCACACCACCAAGGTATGTACTGTATAAATTTCGAACCAATTCTAGATTACCTATTGACCAAGATTGTCATGAAATGTGGAGTAAGAAAAGAAGACGCATATTGCGTCAGGAACAAGAGTTAAAAGCTCAGAGAGTTGGATCAGAGACAGTTGTTACAAAGTTTCCAGGTAAGTTGCTTCTTCATAATTCCTTTAATTGTGCAGCCGTCACATCTCGTGGCGTCATGCCAGATGCAAAGTTGATTCCTCGTCCATCAAATGGACCATCTCAAAGTCCTACACATTCTGTAACTAGTAGATCTGAACCATTTAAACAGTGCATTCCGACACAACTCACTGGAGATGGAATTTTAGGTGGTTTCAGTGTCACTCTACAAAACTGTCCTCAAGTTTCTAATAATTTCTCAGATCCTACCAATAGTCTAAAAAATCAACTACGAGTTCTTTTATCAGACTTTGAAGACTCTGGTGTAGACCGTTTCAAAGAATCGATCACTGAGGCCTTAAAAGCAAATCCTAATTTGTTAAGGGTATGCAAGAACTATTGGGTCCCAGTGATCCAAGTGAAAATGCTTCAGCTGTCCTTGCGTATATTTTATCATTGTTAACAGATTTAAGCAATCAGAGTTCTACTGCTATGGAAATGAGTGATGCTAGTATCCAGACAGCATCCTCACAAATCCATCCTCCCCAACATTTGTCTCGTGATTCAAATGATCGACTCACGTAACATGACTACTGTTATAACTACAGCTCTTTCCAAGAATCCCAGTTTTATCTGGTTTTTGAGCCAACCGTCTAGGTGCATTATATATATTTCTCAATCTTGTTGTATCTACACTGTAAAAAATGAAATGTTTCGTTGTTTTCGTCCTGTTTATCTAAATGACATGATGTTTTAAGAGAGATAATGTAGATATGAAAACAAACACTTGTGATAGACACTCTGAAACCTAATTTTGTACTAATAAATTGTCAATATACAAACATGTTTTTTCTTGATAGTTTTTTTTTCTGTTTTATGAGTTTATCATTTAGAGGTTGTAGTGTAGACCCTCCTGTGGCGGTTATTTACCAGTGAGGAAAGTCAGTCAGTATCAACGTGGAACTTTGCATTATTGCATGGTGATCCAAGTTGCCACTTATGTAGTGTTAAGAGAACTTATGAGTGATGTAGAGCCATAATTAAGAAAAATGTGAAGAAAATTTAGAAGACAGCGAAGTATAAAATTGATGGTGTTTATAAGGGTTTTGGGTGGTAATGAAGGTATGAGAGCAGTTTACAATTCTCAGCTGCACATACCATAAAAGATTGCTTCTTGGAGTACCTATAAAAGAAAGTGGACTTGTTAGGATGGTTTTATCACTCTGGGTATGTTGCCGCATAGCACAAGGAACATCTACTTGAGAAAGGTCATATACAACTCTTTTTAGATTCCTGCTTAGTTGTGCCACGCATCTTCTTACAGAACAATTCATTTTACTGAAACTGGGGAGAGGTATAGAAGGATTGTGCTATTTTAGGATTAAGTGTTTTTATTCTTTCCTCCCAAGAATAACCAGGCATATGACGCTGCATACCTTCTGTAAACACACTAATGCTGTCCTACCCCGTACAACTTCACTCTCAAACTCTATTAGAATGTCAGCTATGTACACTGAAGTCAGCTGCTTTAGCCCTGCCACTATCCAACAGATCTTTCTGTCATGGTAGTCCTTGAAAGAAGAATCACTCCAGTTAACAAAACTTTCTGGGTCTTCGCGATATGCAGTCACAAAAACCACATCAATTTAGCAGTTGTCGGTCGGACTGGCATACGCAGATTTCTATGATGTTACGTTGTGTAAGTAAAATAACGTGATTTTAAAAGCCTTTCGTCTTACGGTACACATTTCTAAATGTAATCATTTTCAACTTGATCATACGAGTTGATATGTAGTGATCTCATTCTTCTTGAATTCTAAAATGTCGTAGTGCATGATGATCGATACCTGCTTCATCAGTGTTGTTTAGGAGAAGGACATTATTTTAGCTTGAGCAGACTATTAAAATTGACTGAAGTCACAGAAAAAGGTCATCAAGAAGCTAAATTACACTATGGGATAGTTGTAAGAATTTTCTGATTTTAATTATGTTTATACGTGGTGATCAACAATTTAGATGTTTTTATAATGGAGTGTAAAAGGCTGGAGCACATTGCTATTTTCTTACATACTTTCAGACGTCAGAGCTGTTACAGTAATAGTAACTTGGGAACCTTTCTTCATCAATACCCGTCGTGATAATAGGAAGCTAAGTGGTTGAATGCGTTAACCATCTTATCTGCCTGGGGAGGCTGAATCAGAACTAGTTAGTTGGTTGAAGAAATATTTCCACGGATACAAAAGGCTCAACTGACTTTCAACTAGCCTATGCAACTTATGGTGCTTGAGAATTATTCAGTCTCCTATCAAGAGTTGAGTACTATGCAGTAGTTCATTGGGCCTGCGAAACATAATCATTTCCTCAGTAACCTTTTCAGGAGTTAGGGAAACAGTATTATATGGAAGTTAGTTTATGTTATTAAATACTTTTATCGTTTAAGCCGGTTAGAAATTGTTATATATGACGAGGCACCCTCTTCTCCTATGTTCACTACTAATTACGTTTCAAAACGGCGAAAAGCAGCTTAACCGAAACGTGGTATCAGTCATTTGAGTGTCTATCTGCTGACTTGAACTATGTAGGGGAACGCAGTCATCCTGGTTTGGGTATGCAGGACAAGTGAAATGAATGGAAACTAGGTAGTAACGTTCAGAATGAGTGGCAACAGCTTGGATATACTCATGTAAATCGACATCTTTATTTCATCTTTTTCCTTTACCTTCTCATGATTTCTTACATTATTTTCACTTTTGCTAGCGTAAAGGGGGTGTATTTTGGAATACCGTACAGTTATGTCTGTATTATTACTAGGTTTGTTTCTGTACTAACTCATTGGATTATGAATGTATCTAGTCTGTACCAATACAATGAAAAATTATGACGTATTCTTTCTTTCTCAAGAAATAAGATGCATCCTGGAGTCCAGTTATGCAATATGTAAAGAAATTGTTCAGGTAAAGGAAGTTCTAACAGAAAAATCGAAATCGATGCCACGGGAATTATATTCACACTGGCTTTTTTTTCAATAAAAGCACGAACCAAAGGTGATACTAGTTTTCTTTTAGTGTATAAATGATGCTGTTTACGAAGAAGCATAGAGGTTTGCGTCAATGTAACTGTTGTATAGAAATGTTTAATGTTACTTATCGTAGCAACAGAATCAAGGTAGGCTGCACTATACCAGAAAGGTCAGTTAATCAGCGATAAGATGCAAATCAACTGCTATCATAGTCTAAGTAACTTACTCTGCAATGAGCGAATTTAAGAACGCCCTTAAGATATGTCCCTCAGGTGGTCGGGATTTCCAGATACATGACCTCACTCAGGAAGTATAGTGAGGGTCTTTTCTGTAAACCGCATTCTAGATTACTACTGCCTACAGTAAAATGCTTAAAGGAGCAAACAGAACACCTCAGACAGTTCTAGAATTGTTGCCAGTAACTAATCTCAAGCATGTCTCACTTGTGACCGATATTTCTCTAAAATCTTTTGCCTGTTTCAAGCTCTCTGAAACGGTATCAGCCTTCACCATATGAGCAATCGTGATGTATTAATTGCTCATGTTGCGCCGAAATTCTACTAATCTGTCTTTTTTATCTGTTGTTACTAAGGTTGCTACTGTTTCAACTACTTCAGCCTGCTCTTGTTTTACAATCGATTCTAACGATCCATGGTTTAATGGCTACTGCACTTTGAGTTTCCAATGTCTAAACCTTGAGGTCTAGTTATGTTGTGTTTCGGAGGCACACAGGAAATCTGTCTATGTTTATTTACTTGACTCTATTTGGCCAAAATCAAACTACTCAGTAACCATGTTCACTTTAATCCAGTGGGAAATAAGCCACACCTATTGTATGAGGATTAGGACTGCTCAAATCTCAGTAGGTGGAGTGAGGTTCTAACTCATTACCTACTGGTTGAAAGTCGACTGTCTAGACCCGTGAAATGACTCCACACTGGTCAATATGGCGAATCCGTACAACTCATCTATCTTGTGTTCTGAATTTTGTTGGATTGAAGATATTACCAAACCCTAGGATGAATACACATTTTTCTTACTTATATTCAAAATGTCCAGATATTAATTCAACAGTTAATTTCAGTGTACCAGTGGAGATGTTCAGTTAGTTAGAGATGCATCTTCAAAATCCTAGTCTAATTAAATAATCATTCCGAAAGTCATATGCTCTTGGTCATCATTAAAGAGAGTCTTTAAATTATCTACCTGATGTATAATTGTTTGTCAGTCGAAACACATCTGCATGCCAATGGGCGTAGTTGAGATGTCTCTCTACATTTGAGAAAGTGGTAATTAGATATGTATTAGAACATGTAACAGATTCTCATCCTGGTATGATTTTGTATCGTATTGTCTACTCGAATCAAAAAAATATTAACATACAACTAAAAGTCAGTGAGTCTTTTCCGTTTTATCTCAACTGGCTGATGCTCAAAGACTCATTTTAGCTGTCTGTAGACACAATAAAAAGGCGAAAACATCATTACTAGAGTTTGGTAATGGAAGAACCAGACATAATTTGGACTGAGTCGAGGGTGTAACTGTCTGAAACATTGTTGCTAGTTCTTGGTACTTCGTATTTCTTTACCTGATCGGTTGGTCGTAGTTTTGCTCCAGTGTCTGACTTTCAAAAGAAACTTAAATGTGAATGCATTATTACTAAAACAATCATATATTTTAGCTTATAGTTATGTAAAGGTTTATTGAGGGTTTAACATCTATCAAAATTAAAATGACGCCATAGGAACGTTTTACATCGATTTTTATTTCAAAGAATTAGACTAATATGATTGAATACGCCAACTACCATCAGAAGTTTCCAACTATACATGTTGTTCAGTAGTATATCTCATGACACTTTTTGTGCCAGAGATCTTGGCTGGATGGGTTCTAACAGAAACAGTAGGATATTCGAAAAACTACTCATCTGTGAAATTTTCAACGTGAACCGTACAGTCTGTCAACGGTTAGCAAATTGACCATCCTTTTTCAAACCTTTTATCCATTGGGAACTAAACAGATGACTGGTATTATTTAGTGAGGCATTGAAATGAAGTACAAATTCGTGTACTGCACTTTGAGTTACACCTGTTGTGCTGCAATAGCAAATCATACTGCCCGGTTGTTCAAATCCATGCTCAAGGATTAGAGGTTGGACCACTAGTTGAAAGAACATTTCCTAAACTAATCCTTCCTATTTCCGTTGAGTGGTGTTCAATCTTGTCATCTTATTCTATCTCTTAGGAAACGAACGCATGTGCCTACTGCTGGGCAGTAGTTGTATTTTTAGCGTTTACAGGTACAGATTCAACAGTAGATTGAATCCGAATCATTTGTGGAGTGATTTAGAGATAATTTTGTATACGGGAATTTAAATTTTTTGTTTCATGCCTTATTTTCGTCCTATGCTGTCTTTATTATAGTAACCACGCTATAACTCTAAATTATTCGTAACTGGGTTAAATGTGTTGGTTTACTGCAGACAGTTTGTAGGAAGCTCTGTTAAACTTAGGTTGCATTTTCTTTGGTTAATACCATCAGTATATGCTTAACGTCAATGGAACTC